GCTTCAATCCTAGCGTTATTCTACGCTTATTAATCGTGTGACATGATCTTGCAAAACGAATAGAAGCTGGAAGATCAACAACTACAGAATCGTGTGCTGGCTCGCCGAACTAAACTAGCCGATTAGGTTCGTTCTTTCGTTCGTTTAGCCGTCTCTCATTTGTTTTTGTTTCAAAATTGACACACACTGAGAGTACAATTTCGTATCATCGTATTTAACATGACTAGGCAAATTATAAATAAGTAGCTTTTGGTTTTTCGTGGAGCTTATAAAATTTGATATGTACGGTGCCGAACCTGCCGCAGATAACAATCCAGTTTATATTCGAAGCTCGTGTATAACGAGCAGCTTGAATATATCTTTCTTCCCTGGGAAAGGCCCCTGCCGACTCATAAATAATCTCCAAGATATCCGTACTGATTCGGCAAGATGTCCCCATGTAGGCGTTGATCATGGTCTTTTCTATGATGGCTAGGAGAGATGCATCACATCCTTTTCGAACGTATTTCTGCACTGGCACAAAATTGCCTTCGATAGGCGGCCTTGAAGGAAATAAATATTTTTTTACCAAAGGATACGAATTTCTCAAAAAATAAGCTCAGATCACTTCAGGTCAAATAGCTTTTCGGTTATTCTTACGTAATAATGAATAGTCTGGATATGAAAAGTGTCAGTCGCAACGTTTGGTTGTAAACGTATTGGTTCCTCGTTTGCAGAGTAGGTTAGGTTTCTTTGTAATTAATTGCGAGTTTGATTTTTATATTTGTACTGTATCTTATTGATGTTATTTCATCGCCCATGCCACTACCGCCTCATTTATGTGAGGTCTACTGAATCGTCAAGTATTGCATACATCAATAGGATTATACACAGATTTTTCGGCCTTGTCTTACTAAGAACAAGATAAGCGTTTTATTTATCTCTTCGATTAGACTATGCGATAATGGCAATAGTACTGTTGGCCTTCCTGATAGCATTCTGGTTATGCTGCCGTAGGTGGAAGGTTAGATGATTAAATACGAATTAACTAGAAGACGCTGTGCACTCCTATGTTTACACGAAATCGTTTGGTCAAGGTCGAAAGGTTCGAAGTAACACGTTCGTGGAAAATGGCTGAGACGACCAGCCTTCTGGTCGAGCAAGACTAGAAGCTAGCACCTTCTAGGTCCAGCCAACGACACGTTCATGCTACACAATCTAAAAAAAAGCATATATATTATAATATAGTTTTCATTATTCATACACGTATTATTGAATTAAGAAGGTTCTTTTTGTATGGAAGATGGGGTAGTGCTCTTACCGCAATGAATAATACATTTGTCAAGAAGTTTCTCCACTCACATGACTCTGCCGCAGTTCCATGAAGTTCTAACTACAGCAACGCAGTCTTTTTTCGCTCGGATGCCAAATAACATCAAATTGATGCCCGTAACACTGTATATATAAAACCGTCCACACAACACGTACACTGTGCTGTGATCTCCTTTTCCAGCAACGATCTCCTGTAGTTTCTTGCAATGCGCCTTAAAATTATCATTTTGTGGGTTTTGTTTAAAGTGCTCTTCCAACGAATGGAGTTCGCGTTCTAGCAAATAGACATTTTTGTGTACTTCAAAAACTCGCTCTTTTGAGCCTCTATCCTTGTCACGCCACATAGCACCAGGATCGAGCCGGCAAGTCTTGACCGAAAAATAACCTCTAGATGATCCCTGCAAGTTTCAAGCAGACTTCGCACGATCACGCACGTTTTTGGTCCCCAGCATATTGGTTCGTTGTTATCGTTGAAATCATCCCAATGCGCGTATTATTTGTCGGATTACTGCGGACGAAACAAAGAGTTCCCAACCTAAATTCGCACGAGGTCTGCCGGAACGGAATGCAAAAGTTGATTACTAGCGGATGCAACCGTATTTCACACTGGATCCTGAATCCACGTTCGGTTAAACTGTCACAACCAATCGTATTGCGCACATCATTGATGACCACTACCTACGTACGCGTACGTGACATTAATCATCCACGTACGTAACATTAATCACCTACTACATAAGTTAACCATCTACTACGAAGTAACGTTACGTATATATACATATATATGTAAATAAAGTAACAAAGTAACGTTAATTTTATCTATACGGAAGTAATGTAAGTAACGTTAATCTTATCGTTACTTACTATCCTTGTTACATTAATCCTATCTATTCTGTTAATATCTACGTTAATCGTACATACATGTACGATATGTAAGATATCTATATGTAAGATTATACAAAAAGATACAGATATCTAAAAATTCTATATATGTAAGATTCTATATGTAGGAATCTATATGTAAGATCCTACATATGTTAACATGATCTTATAGATAGATATATAATATCTAACATATATATCTAACATATAGATATCTATACATATCTATATGTACGTATGTGTATGTATGTATATATCTATATGAAAGATATCTTTCATATCGCACATATAGATATGATTAACGTAAGGATATAGAATGTATGTACAAATATTCTATATCCTACGATACGATACGTAAGATTCCATATCTATGTAAGAGACATTCTATGTTAACATATGATCATGTAAGATTCTATATCTATTAAGACACATGTCAACATATGATCGAATCTAATAATCAAGATCTCAATAGATCAGATCATATGGATCTTAAGATCTCAATAGATCAGATCATATGGATCTTAAAGATCTCGAATCATCTTAAAGATCAAGGATCTTAAAGATCCTTAAAGATTATTGATCAAAATAATCAAGATCAATAGATCGAATCGAATCTAATAATCAAGATCAATAGATCGAATCGAATCTAATAATCAAGATCAATAGATTATAATCAAGATCAATAGATCAGATCAAGATCAAATAGATCAGATCATATGGATCTTGTAGATTATATCTTCTAGATCATATGGATCTTGTAGATTATATCTTCTAAATAGAAGATATAATATAGATAGAAGATATATAGATATATAGATTATAAAGATCGATCATCATGAAACATCGATATATAGATCAGAATGGATCATGAAAGATCGATACAGATTAAAGGATCTTGGATCATGAAAGATCGATCATCGATCATGTAGATCGATATATATCGAAACAAGGAAAAACCAATTTTGTACGCGATTAATGCGATATTCGTGTCACTTTTATTCATGTACTAGCAGACGAATCCACCACACCGGCGAAATTTTCTTGTCACCGCAAGATCACTGACACTAACGAAGCTTACGAGGATATACTGGTCCAATCCTGGGATCGCAGCCTGAAGTCACTGTAGGACCCTGACAAAATCGTGACAGGCTGTTGGAGCCTCCTCCTCAACCACCCCATGAAAACCAGCTTCCCGGACTCGACATCAGGAATCACAGTATATGACGGCGCCGACGCTGTTGTTGTTGTTGTTGTTGTTATGGTTCTTACTAGCGGCACTGAGCCACCACAAGCCCGCTCTTCTTCTTGGCGGGGTGACACGGCAGCGTCTGAAGCTAACAGCTAAATCCGAAACAAGCCACTTTAGGACCGATGTTTCTTTGTCGGAGCCTCCTCCTCAAAGCAGCTACTTTAACCCAAGTCGGGTCAGTCAAAGTTCTCAGTTCATGTCAAAGTCGACTGCTGGAAGCGAGTGATTTCGCTGCGTGCGGACGCGGCCTTTATACGCGATTTGCCAAAAGCGGAGAGTGAGAAACCACTTTACTGCTTACGGATTTATCAGTATCTAATTCGTCGAAAAAACGATATTGCAATTAATGCTATAGACGAGCCGCGGTCTCTAAAACAGTAAACAACAGATTAGCAGAAGCTGTTTTCCGGAGAAATGGAAGTGTGACAGCAATTTAGGCAAAATGCACGTAATGCTATATAGGCGAGCCCTTTTTTCGCATCTGGGTTCCGCCTGGCATTCTACAATTTTGTATTTTTTTGTTTTTTGGGTTTTGCAAATTTTGGGACCATTGTTTACAGTCGATCGCGAGTCAGCAAGCGGAATCTCTTACTTGAAAATCTGCGAAGGTGCCTGTGACCTAAGACCTGTTGAAGGTATACCAAATGTACGTGTAATGCTGCTGTTCAAACTCGATTTCAACCCACGTTATTATTTTTTTGTGTTTATTTGTAACGTCACAGGCTTCGACTGTGAACTGTAATAGCTAACGATGATGCCCTTACGGGTTTACTTAAAGAGGTTCAATCGAGATATGTGGGTCTTAAAAAGATCCTATGTGTTACAACAATGTAATTGAGAAGTCATGTTGTAAAACACACGATCTAGAAGCAAGTACATCCAACAAGTAAAGAATTTTTTTGGGAGATGTAACAGAACTGTTCCACGTCATCATAAACTCTAGCTCAAAACAATTTGTACCAAATTGTAGGTGAATGTAAGAAAAACAAGACGTATGTTATGTAAATATATGAAGGTCACCTGAACTTAAAAACAATGACACCTGCTTAGACGAGTGCAGGGAAGTATGGTTACTCTATGCTGCGAATCAATTTGCCCATGGGGCTGGTGTGTCTCATACGAGAAAAAACTAGCCGGATAAGCGGATATTGACCATTCCAGCTAGAGGCCAACAGCCTAAAAGGGGCACTAATGCATGGCATTTGTCAGACGCGCCCGAACGGAATAGTGAAAATGGGCTTACATTACGACAAGTCAATGTGGCTTAGAAACGTCGACTACAGTATAGCGTTACGAAATCCAGGTTCGTCGGTAATGTAGAGAGAATACAATGATTCACGGTTGAACATCTGAGATCCAATCTTTAGATGCCCTGCGTTATAAAGACACGTATTGTTCAAAAGCATTTCTATAAGATGTATTCGTGCGGTTGAAAAAATGATTAAAACGTAATTGCAAACATCTATTAATAATTTAGTCTTTAAGGCGAAATACGTCTTGTCCTAATAGCAGAACATTTACGCCATAATCAATAACCAGTATTCTCTTATTTTTTTAGGTACTATATGAGATCACGTTTAGCGTATGTGATGCACAGCACGCTACTGGATATGTCCGTCATCGGCAACCTGTTCTCAGTTTATATCCAAATCTGAATAGTGAGTATCAGATTCGTCGAATTCTGCTCTTCCTGCTCGATTATCATTTGCATGTGTCGGATCGGCAAAGTAGGTTGTGAGAATAAGCACTGAAATCAAATTTCCTCTAGTTGAAGCTCTGTTCAAGTTAAGGCAGCGAAGTGACTTTTGAGGCTGAGCCTACAACAATTTCCCCGTCGCCCGCGGGGGGGAGGAAAGAGGGGGAGACAAAGAGAAGGACACGTGCCTTGCTGTACCAGCCACGTAACCATATCGCTTTCGAGGACAATTCGTCTGCTATTTCATTTTACCTCACTCGTGTTACCCTCGCTTCTTAAGTGTCACCAGCTATGTTCGGGTCAAACTGATGCCTGAGGCTAGACAGACCGCTGTTCATTGTGCGTACAGATCCCTTTTTCTCTTTCAATAGAAACAGATATTGATCAGATAACTGCTACAATAGGTATGCTGTAAAGGTGTACCCTTCCAGCTCGTTGAATACCGACGTGGAGTGCTTCCCTCCTGTCACCTTAACTAAGCTGGAGGCAATCCGAGTTCCGTAGTGCTGACAGCTGAGTGTTGCATATGGGTTTTCGGACGGGATAGAAGTTATCAGCTGGTGAGGAGAATGAAGAACACAGACGAATGTAAAGAAGCTCAAAGTTTCTTTGTTGCATTTTAGATGAAGTTAGATTTTCGAAGCTAAATAGCCTTTCTCAGAACGTTCGTTTTAAACATCGATTACCTCATCGTTATAAGCCGTAAAAAATATGCAAGGTTGACTTAAAATTTAACTGACTGAGTGGGCATTTTGTTCGTCTAGTTTCGCCTTTGAGTACCAGGCTCATTCGAAGTTGAAAGAGCAAGTAGACGAGATTGCATTTTCTGTGTAAGGCGAATATAAGTTCACCTTTGATCCTATTAAAAACGTATTTGCAAAAAACTTTTTACCTGCAGGTAGCTTATATTGTAATCGTAACTGCGTTCTTATGAGCGGTTGCAAACAAGCGAGACGAATTTATGAGCGTTGCTAAAATGATGTTGTGTAAAAAAGGGTATTCATTATCTATTTTATCGTACGTATGCATTCCTCTTCTAATAAAAAAAAATTAGCATACTTAATGACATCGTCCGCACGTCATTTCTATGCACGTTATTTAATTTAGGAACTGGCTACTAAAGTGTACAGTATGGCATTTATCTACAGCTCCGAGATGCAGTAGATCAGAACTCTTTGGTTATCTTCATTATGTACGCATAATAGGAAAGTGTGAGTGCTTCTCTCATCAAACCAGGATTTAAAGTTCTTTAATAAGAAAAGCTGGTGGTTACCGAAATAGAACCAGCCACAGAAAATCTTCCGTGTCAGAATTAAATCCAAAGATTTTCTATCTCTACAGGCGCCACCTTTGGCTAAGTGTCATTGAACGTGAATTTGAATGAGCGGACGAATTGAACGGAGTACCGTTGACAGAGAGGGCGCCTCCGGGGGCATCGCTTTACGGCTGGAGCCGCTTATTTTTCTTGCGCACATTGACATCGGAATCGAACCAATATCTTCTGCAGGCTGCTGGATGTAGTGAAGGAATATTCTTCCATCCTGGTAGCTTCCCTTTATTTTTTTAAATTGTGCTGTAAGATCCTGAGCTTTTCAAGCGTCTTTGCTCTCTGAAACCCTTACTGTTGTATGGAAAATTTGTTTCTCTTTCAGACGATTTAGCTTTATCGGTATCGGAATGTCTTTGCACCGACTGTTCGCAGACGTTCGTTTATCTAGACTAGCATCGACTGAGAAGAACGCTAAGTTTAACGAAGCTGAGTCACGAACACGGACGAGCACACCGACCAAAAAAATGACCCTTCATTCTGCCTTTAACGAAGGTTCATGTCGTGTCCGTAGCATTTATTGCTCCAACCCATGATCATCTACTTTTATCGTCCCATAAGTACTAGGTGCATGACTTTTTGTTCAAGGAACTCGTTTACCTCTTGTTAATATTAGCTTTCATGCTGTCTGTGTGCCTGACTTTTTGCCTCCGGTTCTAATTGCCTGTTTTTGTGAGTTTTTTTTTTTTAGTTCTTAGGTGCGTTGAGTTCTGGGTTGAGATGGGTTACCTTTTAATGAAATTTTTTCAGGATTTATTTTCCTAACCAATCTTTTTACATGGAATCTATCTAAAGGGGGTCGTGCTTAGTCAAACCAATCAAAAAAATTCGATCAAGCCGAATTATATGCTGTTCTAATAGCTGAATTGATTTCAGTTGAAAAATGAAGCGTCGCGGCACCATTGAATAACAGCCACGGGCATGTCGTACACACGGTAATGCGTCTTGCAGCTGCGCTATCGTGAAACGTTTAAGCTAATTACCATACAGGTAATCATTGTATAATTGTATAAACAACCGAACAGCAGTATCCCAGCTAAGCTTAGAACACGTAGTTTCAAGGAAATATTTGATGTCTGCCCGACTGTGTGGAGGTGATGTGATGTATGATACTGAAGACTACTACCAGAGTGCAAGTTGTAGGAGCCGCGGTGGGTTTTTTAAGAAACTTTATAGGAAATTTATAATTTTGCTTAATGGTATTAATCTGTTTTACATAGAAGTCTACGTTGACGAAAATCAAAATTTTCTGTACGAATCTAAAGAAATCGATAACGGTTACTATCGTTTTCGCGGAGGCCATATACAAACCCTTGTCGACCGTCCCGTTCTGAAAAACTTCCTAGCGTAAGATCCACCACAGGCAAGTCGTTACATTGGGACTGAGATCCAATTCGACTCTGGGCACAGACATATTTTTCGGAGCGCCCCATTTCTTTTCACGCTTAACCTTAAGATACCGCTTGTGCGTTCAAGCTATTTTTTGCACCTTCTGCAACCTGAGATTATTATCAGGCACTTAGATATATATCTAGATGTGGTCTAGTATGTACAGCCTGTCCTCTCGGCCAATTAGCGAGTTGTCTGCTATTCGAGGTTTCGATCTACGTTGAATTGCGGGCCGGGGTGTGGGGTATACATTCCAGGCCTAACAATCTATTTTTGAACTTATTAGTAAATGTTTTTTTTGAGTTACAGTTGTCGACGTACACGGCAGAGGTATCCTAGGCTGCTCCGGAAGCTTATGGTCTCGGTAAAAGAAACAGAGTGGGTGTCCACTTGTTTACCGCCAACTTTGAAGCGCAAATTCGACAAAAAATCCCGTTAAGAACAGCAGCCGGCTTGCCAAGAGGAAAACACTTTCCGAACAGTGTATACGACTAAATCAAGAGTGGAGAGGTAAAAAAAGAGAACAAAAAGTAAGCCGAAGTTTCGTATATGCCAATTTAGTATATATACCTATCCTGGAGACTGATAAGGTTGTATCAAAAACGCCACGTCCATTCGAGTAAAAGGCAACACCTGTTGATAGTGACTTGTTGAAATAACCTGCAGAGCACAGTGGAATGATCGTGTCCAAAATAAAAGTGACTGCCATTGTTGGCCAAATACCCTTTCTCCCCCGTTCTATCGGCAGGGGTTTTCGTTAGTTACATTAGTTCGTGCTGTATGTATATAACGGTGTGTCGCATATAAAAACCATCGGTTATTAATGCCAGTGTAGCAGAGTGGCTCTTATTAAAACAATTATAGATTAGTTAAAGCAGCTTGCCCCAGTTTGTCGTTTCATCGCTCAGTCGATGTAATAACGTGGTAGAACAGAAGATAGCTGCCAAGAGTCGATGATCACGCGAATTTCCAATAGAATCAAAAGACAAATTTAATGATGAAAGTGGATTTTTATTGGTGTCAATAAATGTTTTGTGTCATTACCGTTAAATTGGTTAGTATTTTTGAAAGTTCAAGAAATCCACTAATTTCTGATCATTGGCTAAGTTATGAGCGAGCTGGAATCAGTTTCCGTAGTGAGCTTTTTTTTTCGCAGATAAACCTACGTTACGTTAACTCGAGGGCACAAACATGTGCTAAACCTAAGCAAATTAGAAAATGAGACCCAGGTAAGGTCTTGCCAGGTTGCCTGCTTTTACCTTGTTGGGAAAAATTGTAGCAGCGTAATTTGGGCTCAGGTTAGTCGATGGTAAGAAAGATATGGACCCAGTATCAATATAAGATTAAAATCATAGATTCAATGACACTCGATATTTCGGAGATATGCGGCCAGCTGCTGCGTATCATAGCGTTATACTGTAAACTACATTTATTGATATTATAAATGTGCAACTTCATGTTCGAGAAGAAACCTGAATCTTCACTAAGTGTTGCAGTCACTTCTGCAACCATGTACTTTAGTTACTTTGATGTTGTCAGTTACCGCAAAGGTAGTTCGGCGAAGATGACCCAGTATGCAAGCAAACTTAATTTATACTACTTGTGATTTTCTAATTGCAATGAACTAAAGCAATTATCTTTACTACTAAAAACTCATAGTAGTATATCTATAATATACGGTAGCTGGTGATTCTAGGAGAACGAAATGTACCCATTAGGTTTAGCTTAATATCGATTTTCTCGGAAAGCTTCGAACTAACCATTTGGCTGTATTGACGAAGAACCTTTGCGGGTACGTCGTTACGCAGCTGCTGCATGGAGAAAACATACTATGTAAACCGGACCTGTAATCTGCTTGCGTGCTTGCAGAGGTGGTTATAGAAAAAGAAATGAGAAAAGGTAATCGGGACCCCCGGTGGTAAGACCGCGTATATAGGCAGCAAAGTCAATTTGAATTCTTTTTCTTTCCTGGTGGACTTGTATGCGTTTTCGTCGATAGCAACGTCTTTGTAGGTTCACGCTATACATACAACCTCTGTACAGGCTCTTTATATATTATGTACCATGAGTCAGATGAGACGTGCGCTACGACAATAAGGTACGGCAAGCGATGTTACCTCGCTCTGTCGATTCGTACTTAAACACAACCTCCACATAAGTAACCTTCCCAAGGCCCTTTCTCTTTTCGCCCGCCTTTCTTCAATTTCTTTTTCTACGAGGTTCACTTCTGCGCGGAAAGCACGAACGGAGCAGATCACGAACGTCGGCGAAAAGCAGACGGTACTACGAGCGGAAAATTCAAAAACCATTTTAGTTGGCTGTTATTCTCGATAGACTACTGTAGTAGTAAACGTAGAAGTTGGTTCGTTCGCTACTAGTCATCAGCCTGAAAACTGCGTCCTTGCCGTTATACTGTTGCGGCAGCCTACGGCCCGCGGCAGCTGAGATTCTCCAAACCCAATTTGTCCCTAAAACATGAATTGGATGAGAGGAGAAAAGCGCGTTGGGCATCCCAAGGAGTCGGATATGTCTGGGCTGCCACACAAAACTGTCTTTGTGGCTAGAGGTAAATGCCCCAGCTGAATTTTAGCCTCTTGAAAAACAACAGCAGTTCCAGGTAGGAGCCACCGTTCGTGGCAGTAGGTAGAACAATGGTATCTGGAGCGAGCAGGTTTCATGACAGTAATTGCATTGTGAAAATCCGCGTTTATCCTTTAGACAATCGCGCTTTCAGAATTGTGCGCGCCTGTATGAGTTAGGGAGCTTGAGTACGCATGTATGACTTCGGTAAGGAACGGGGTACTGAAGGTAAAATCGAAAGACCGATGATACGAGAACAGCTACGGGGTAGTTCTTTTTGTTATTGTTATATGCTATAAAGTATAATGTACAGGCAGTAGCGACAATGGCGCTTTGTCAATTCGCCTATTTAAAGATGTTGCAAGTTTTGGTATCTTAGCTTATCCGATCATATGCTTACAGAAACGTAGGTAATGTTTGGAGAAGACTAAGACTGGCGATGTAAAACGTTCAAAAATCACACATTTCCAACAGCGATCATGAAACAAACAAGCAGTATCCAAGAAATTCTACGATTACTAAGGATACATCTGAACCGATTGTCAACCTAGGTTCAGGTCATTTCGTCCCATACTTATTTTGTTCCAAACCTAATCAATAGTTAAGCTGTTCACGTTCAAAATGTTCTATTAAAAAATTAATGAGTGATAAGCGCCACTCCTTTTGTGATAGGGATGATCTCATAATAAGAGCAATAAGCAATATATATTCGTCAGTTTGGTAAGTGAGAAAAAAGTTGAAATGAGCTAGCCACGGCGATCAGGCTATATAAGGCCATTTTCAACGACTCTACCGTCCTTCTTTGAAGGACGGTAGAGTCGCTGTCAGGACGAGGGAGGAGGCGTTAACCAAGATAGCAATATCCCAGTCGGTAACTTGTGACAGATCTCGGTATACTGTAATTAAATGGTTTAGGTAGACACTGTCGTGTATTTATTTTGCATGGCAGTCTTTTGAAAAGGCAGTTTCTTATAACATACGCTGACTTGAAGATTAAAGCAATACTTATTCCTAGGTAGTATTGAGTGAGCATTGCATCCCGCTAACGCGATAAAAAAAACAAGGTCTGATCTTACCGGGTCGGATCATATGACTAAGAATTAGGATAGAAATGAAAGCGTTGTATGCTAACTAAAGAGAGTCATATGGCTGTCTTCTACTTGGAATGGTAGACAAAACCTTATGTATTATTGAAGTTTCCATTATCTCCATCTAATAGTAATAATAAGTCCAAGTTGCAACTATTGTCGCTCATAAGTATTAATATTTTCTTGACATTTAGGAAGAGTTTATGCAGCAAAAAACAGAGAAAATTTAGACAATTCGTACACTACTAACATTGGCGTGCAATGAAATTACGCTGTTTACGTTGATAGAACCTAACCGAAGGTGTGCATCGCTGGCAATCATGAAGGCAGTACGGATCGAAAAATGCTTCATATTTGAGAAATGGCTTGGTCTCATGGGAGTCTCACTTGCGTCGTCGTTGTTGTAAAGGGTAATAAAGTGAACGATATCAGTGTTGCGTTAGCTGACTTTCAAAGCAGAAAAATCTGTGTTCGGCCTAATTGAATGAGTTTAGCAAGAAAAAATATACAAAAAGCAATAGTACTACTCTGGACCGGGAGAATTATGAGGTCTCCGTAAACAGCCGTACCGCCTTTCTTGAAAGAATTGATTTAGAAAGTCAATAAAGATGGTAGCGTTCGTGCTGTTGTTTTCAGAATATCCTGCCCAATGAATAATATGGATTAGGTAGAAACGCTAGGCGCTTGTTAACAAACAATACAGTCGCCACAAGTGTTAATAATTCTTATTTTTTGGGTCCTCTGATTCCCTGCTATTACATGCATCCGTTAGATGTAGTTTGTTCTCACTACTATCATTGCCTCAAATACGCAGTTAATAATACTTGGCAATGTCCTTGTATATTGTCCAAGTAACTTTGCCATCTCTTCCTCACGCACTTGTTCACGAGCAGAAGCCGAACAGCTCTCATAGCAAGAAGACAAATTGAACACCGATGGAAGCTAAATTTATACGCCGAAGCGAGCGCTACCGGCCGCTTCGTTTGGAAGACAACAAACAAAAAAGGACCGTCATCTAGAGAATGATTCCGGTCAGAGCTATGGGAAGTCCAGCACTTGCTCACTAAGTGTTTTCTCTAGGGACTCTCTGGATCACTGTTCTATAAACAACACGGACGGGCTATAATACGTTAACTTCAAATGCACAAATTTGTGACGTAACTGTTCCGTCGCTGGGAGACAGTCGAATCGCTGGAGCATACAATCTTCTCAGAAATTTCAGAAGACTCTATTGGATAGGTTACCGACAGGGACTAATATAATGTGCATGGTTGTCACTTAGAACTGGGTGGTTGAATAACCGGTGTTTAATAAGTCAGAAGTGAACTCTGCTCGAACTGGGTAACACAGTTAACGTTCGAGTTTCCAGTATTGTTTTGCTCTCAAGAACACTGTGATAGTGGCAAGTCTTTAGGGATTCGTAAGGTCCAACTAGGACGGCAGTAGCGTATCTATAAATAGAACTGGGGACGAATGTAGAGAATAAGATTTTAGGAGAAAAATAGAGACGAATTCGGCGACCAGCAGTGATCTGATATCCATTGATGTCCACCAGTCGAATGTTGAGATGAATACGATAAATCTGTTTCTATGTACAGTTCTTTTTACCATTTCAGATTCATACAAATATATGCAACATAGAATCTATTTTGATAATTGAGAAGTTGCTTCAAAATTGTAAAACGACATTCCTTATATATTTCGTACCTCTTAAGTACTGAACGCTGAGAAAATTATTCGTTAGAACCCCACCCAGCATATTGGACTGCCTCTCCTAACCGTCTGGCCTAGATGAGAATAAATAGGAAATCGGATGGTTTTTTTTTTTCAGTTGGCTCGAGGAATCTCTGATTGATGAACTATCAGCTTTATATATCGATGCATTTCCGGAAAATAGTTGAACTTGAAACGAGGTGACGAAACGTTATGTTTGCCCTTGGACTAGTTGGCTGTAACGAAAGGATGTGTTCCGATGACTCATGGCTAATTTCATAGTAGTCACTGTAGCTTCCAGATCGCGTTGGGCTTCCAGAATGTCCGAACAAGACAAATGTACAAAAGCGTTTATTCGAGGTGGACCATACAAAAGTGCCTCGACGACATCACCTAAAATCAAACACTATTATCTATAGGAAAATATGATGTTTCGGTGTAAACGATTGTATGATACAGATGTTCGGGATATATTGAAATACTTTTGTGGGCTGTTTGTCATAATGAGAACGCATTCAGCCATTATATTTGACATCAAGGGCAAGCCACTTCTCGGTCGCCTGAAGCCGGCCGTCCTTTGCCATGCGGCGCCGCGTGGCGCTTATCTAATTCGTTGTAATTTATCTCGAAAACTCTGTATACCTTAGTGCGTGCGATGTTGACCAAACTTCATGTCCACGCAAGACGTAATATAATAATAATAATAATAAGTGGCAATAATTTCTGGGGCATTATCAAATGGGTCGATTGGTACATGTCGAAAACTTCATCGATGTAATTGATGTATAAGTAAACGGCCCTTAATTACATCCCAGTTTATTCCTGACTTTAATAAACTCCATTTTAATTATTAATGCCATTAGCAAATTGGTGTCTATTATTTTCGAAACTAACCGTACATCGATCCTGTCGATTGAGCTTTATATACATTTTTCTTGTTATTTACAGTCACAGAGTCCCCTTGTAGTGTTGCATAAGAGAAAAAAAATCAGCGGGTGCTTATATATCTACTATACTCCAACGAGAATAATGGTTTCGTAACTTTGCTCAAAAATCATGTACTAAAATAAACAAAGTTGAAATGAGTTTGTCCTTTTCTAACCTAAACGATGCTCTTCTAAACTGTGAAAGGACATTTTGAGCTACATCTTACGTTTCGGTGTTTCTACTATCATCGATGTTCCGTATAATTCCGGCCGACACGTAAACAATACAGAATTCAACTATACAATTTACTGTTTAAATAAATGTTTACTTTTCGTACTAGAACTCCAGACTTCATTTTATTTAGTTCTATTCAAAATGTAGTCAATACATACACTAACTATATATGTAAGCCTATAAATAACTGCATCGCAATTCATTTGTTACTAAGCCATAACTTACTCATGGCTTTAATTACTATATATAATATGTGTATAATTTTCGGTCATCTTGAAACCTCTCCAAATTCACGCTACAGCTGACGTTCGAAGTATATGTACAATAAGAGAACAACGAAAACAGAACGTCACAACAGGACACTATGCATTGTTCGACTGGTGGTTTTGTGTTGTGATCTTTTAAAAGATCCATTTGGATTCAGCCGATTCGGCTAGAGACCAGGAAGAAAAGTACCCCAGCTACCTCTACCGCAAGAATACTTGAACAAATAGCGATTTTATGGTAGTTCTTGTTTATTCTTTAAGGAAAAGTTCGTTTATTGAATCTTTCGGTCTGGCGACCCGAGCCCCCTTCGTCTCTTGGATTACCTGAACGGTTCGGTGGGGTTTGTTTGTTATAACACCATCAATACCCATGTAGATCAACTGACGCATACGGGCTTTCCAATCCACGGTCCACCGATAAACCTAAATCATAAAAAATGCCTTGGTTAGGTAAAATATGCTTAGAAATCGCATATCCGAACCTGAAATTTATTTAGCGCACTGAACACCTAAAGAGGATTTGCTCAGGAAACACTCAAAAGCTGGATAGTTTGAAACAGTTCCAATCAGAAATTATGAGTTTCGCAATACTGCTTCTCGATGAAGTGCCACTAATACGCAGCTAAGTTCTATTTCGAAATAAAAAAAATTAAGCATCCGCTAATGGTTTTCGAAATAAAGTTTAATAGGTTATACGCCCGTTCGTAAGTAACTAGAAAAAAAAAGTATCTGGTCGTGCAGATACCAAGTGGCAGCTTGTTTCTGGAAACATATGACAATAATATGATCATCATCTCGCAACAAGTTTTATTATTTGACCAAACTCTTTTACGTAAGGGCTCTATTATATAAAGTAGGCCACTCAGAAAGGCTTCTTGTCCGCGATTGTTCAATTCGGAATCAATAGACTGTAGCCAAACGCGGCTTCTCAGTGCGGAAATGAATTACTATTTCGATCTGCTGCCTTTGTTTCTTCATGATGGGAACAGTGCCTGCCTGCATTTCGGGTCCAAAAACATTCTAAATTTTTCAACAGTGGATTTGTACAACGTATTCGTATGATAATTTTTTACGTGTAGATACACGTATGTGTCGCGTTTGGCTACCTTTAGAAGAAATTAAGCTTCCCATTATCTATTACAACATTTCAATAGCAGGTCAATCAACATTGACGCTCGCGTCAATGTTGATTGACCTGCTATTGATCGTCTGTGATCTAGAGTTAGTTTCTGCGCTAATTGGCCCTCTTACAAGGTTAGCTGTTTCGTATTACCAGATGTCTGCTAAGTTCTCAGCATTTGTCACAACAACTCTTCGCAAGGCGAAATTCTGGCTTCTTCTAAAGTTCGTCTTAGGGAGAAAATTATTCTTTGATATTGCGTTTCCAGTTAGGAAGGGGTCACTTGAGACAGGTCAGTATTTAAAGCTTTCCTTTCATTTCTGTTTGGAATTAACATACTTTCTATGAGGAATCTATGGTCCGATTAGAAATCAGCTGAAAAATTCTGTTATATAGCCGTCTAATAAGATACTTGAAAATGCATTTGCCGCAAAACATTCTTCATCTCCACCGTGATTCTTCTATTTTTTTTTTTTTGTAATACTACGATCGCAGCCGACCGACATCAGGCGTTGTCTTCTCGGTAGGTAGGTAGGTCGAAATGACGCCTAAACAATCGCTGTGATCGCTTGTAGTAATGGCTCAAGTACGCTTTAAGTCTCTAAATAAACGTGAACGCCCGTTTTGTTTGAATAACTGTTTCTTCGACATTTAATCTGTAGACTTACGACTAAATGCACCGCTTCTTCCACCTACCAGATTAACTAGCACAGTTGTTTGCGCTACTTGCAGAATGAAATACTGCTAGCGAAAATTATTATTATTATTGACCTAATGGTTCTTGGCGTGGCCAACTTAATGCTCTATTTTTATACTAGTATTCTTCGGACAGTACGTTGAACAACTTAGCCTCAGACTTAAAAAATCAATCTTCTAATGTCAAATTACATATGTGATACAATTTCGAAATAGTCTGTCACGGTGTTCGCTTCGAGCTATAGACATTGCCTTGGTCATTTTCGAAACCCACCCTGTGACCTGCACTGATATTGAGCTATCAAGTAACGATACATCGTGCACGAAAAACGAATCATCTATTTTATTGGCCCAGTACAATTATTTTTACGATAACTGTTAGTTATAGTTGCTAAGCACAGCTATATGAAAATTAATTCAGATAAGTAGAATATCGAAATTAATAATGTATTAGCGACTTTTCGATTTTCGCCGGACAAGTGAAAATTTTCATCTATGTCGCCAAAACAATCGTCCGAGCAACTATCACCGTGCTCAGAGATGTACCTATTTCCGATATATGAAAACGATGATAATAATAATTCCTTGGGAATCACTGAAAAAATCAAAGGCACATAACGGATGCACCCGGTTCACAACGCTACTACTAGGAAAACTCAACAGGGCCTATTGCTATCCTCATATGCTACATCTACAACGGTTAGACCGTTAAGACTGTTTCAAAAAACGAATCCGGTTACACGGCTGTGACAATATCACCAGAAGATACTGCCCAGACGTCAGTCAAAGTCCTGAATCGCATCGTGTAAACGGCTGCCAACGGTAGGCAGTTAGTTGGTCTTCAAGAACCACCAACCTCCAGGAGCTCTCAATAAAAAATCCCCATCAGTTTTTGGCAAGCACAGAAAAAATCCGAGTGGCGCTAACAAACAGTGTCGGGATCAATTACTACAGCTCATGAATATGCTAGGCTGACACCGTTCTAATTTACTGTACATAATAGCGATTCCTCTCTGTTTATCTTTCGAAAATAAGTTTGCGGTATCATTGATGTACAAAGAAAACGTTGTTTCTAGAAGCAAGTCATCGGCGAGTACTTGTTTAAACCGCGAGCTTATTTTTATCGATACTTCTATATAGCCAAGAGTCTGTCAGAACTGTAACGTACTAAATGTGTTCACCTAATCGCACGGGTATTGTACCGCCAATTTTCGATTATTGTTATAAGAATACTTCGAGCTATATATTGTTATAGTATATAAGGATCGAGCTAATTATCTATTATATAATAATAGATAGAATTAGATTATATCTGATTTAGAGTCTAACAGAATATCGTATTGAAACCAAATACGTTTATTCTTATCGTGTTATCAAGAGAATCTATCGCTAGTAGCCGAAGGCCTTACTCAAAAACAATGAGCAAATACATACACAAACTTCGAGATACATAAATCAGGACAATCTACCTTTTTAATTACGTTATCGCCTCGATCACGTATATCGATAGCCTGTCGTACGCGGGTAAAGCTTCGAAATGGCTCGAACCTAAAAAGAGAACGAACATCTGTAATAGTTCCTTGAATAACATGTACCTAAGCGACAATATTAGAATTATTATGTCTGAATTTATAATGTTCGGCCGGTTCGAGTTTGATAGCTGATGATTTTATCGGTGAGCGAAGATCGACAGTTAACGTTTGAACGTTACTAATTGTTGTATTTTAAGCAAAGCATAGTTATGCCCCTCGCTGCTGGTGGCACCAGATCAAGTGGGATGATCCGTAAACGGAGTTTGTTGATCATCGTTAAAGTATCGTCTATTAGACCCGTTTAGATTCAACGCTCGATCAAGAATGCCGAGGAGAGCAGATATGTTATTGGTGGCATTTCCGGTATGGTCACGTTTAGACGACAGGGTTGTTTCAGCCCGTATCAATATGACTGATCAAGCGGTACGAATCGAAGCTTTGTTTAAATGGTTAGGCATAACGAAGTAAAGCTTTTAGTGTTATCTATTGAAAAACACGTTTTCGAGGTTCATTGAAATCATATTATACAGATCGGATTTACTATTGGGATCAGTCTATTTACTCAGAGTCGTTTAAACCAGTGACAGTGGAAGTCCTATGTGGGTGCATTACATAAACATGAAACAGGATGACCTTGCGTTAAAACGATATGTTCATGCAAAACATTGTGAAGGTGCGTTAGTGCGCTTGATTCGTGCACGTTACATACGTACAAAAACTCATTTTCTCAGTGATCCTCTTCTATTCCATTGAACTCCAACACTCCAGTGGCCATTCATAATCGGTTTACAGACTCATGCTCGGAGAATAACCTCGGACAAAATCCGAATACATCATAATCAGCATAGCTCAGTCTTTCCTCTATGTATGCAGGGTAAAATTTCAAGCTAAGCAAAATATTAACGGCGGGCTAGAATACAATAGGTATCTTTACTTGGAGCCTTGTTGGCTGCCGTTAGAACGTCGTTATGGTTGTATGAAATTAAGGGCCATATCGATCTCATCCCTGTCAATGATGGTGCCACGATATGGACTAGCCGTCGACTGTTCAGTAAACCCGCTTCGACTGGCCTTCTTTGCTATACACTTTTAAATATACTTGTAAACAAGTAGAAATCAAGATGGTCATCTTAATTGGTTCAGTACCCGGTTAAACAATACCTTACCAGTTAGTAACTCCGTCTCCTTGCCAAGCAGATGTCACGTTGAGTTGGCGGTACATTCTGAAGACCGCATTAAGGTCCGGATTCTCTGATACATCAAACGAAACTTTGGCCATTCGAGACTCGTTGATCGTACGCATCTCCTCAATGAAAGCTTCTAACAAGGCCTGATCTGATGTGTGTGGAATAGAAAGCACAACGTTTACCTCTTCGGCGCCCTTTTCCCAAAAATGTCCCGTTACCTTCCTAGCAAGATCAATACCGCCGAAACGCTTTGCTTTATCGCTGAGCCTGGAGCACTTTAAATCAAGGAAGATTAAAGAAAGGTTTCGGGATGACGCTGCCCTGAGGTAATCAACGAGTTGTGTCGACTCGTGGCATACCCGAAAGTAGTCACACGGGACACCATGAAACACCCACCAAGCCGCTCCGTTCGATTCGAACGTGACATCTAGCTCCACTGCATTTGCTCCGTCCTTGAGAAACAAATCCATTGTGGATACTGAGTTAGCCATGTGACCTATTACGTAAAATGGTCGCTGATTATTTTTCAATTCTGCAGTTACCAGAAGAGCTTTTACGCAACTGCTCGCCAACAGGACGAATAGAACTGCTGCAAACTTCATGATGGTAATACCTTCGGTAACCAGCATATATCTGTTGCTGTTCTTGATAACAATAAGCCAAATCGCCTCACAAGCACGCATCAGCAGATAATATGAACACTAAATTGTGAATCTGAAGACGACCGTCCACCATTGTCCATGTATCTCATCATTTACGGTAGCACGGTCGCTTGCCAACAAAACGTATCGTTGTAGCCGTTGTTAAGTCAACAGCTAATCGGCGTTCTGCGTTTTTTGTGCTGCTGCTCGAGCTCGCTTAACACTGGCCGCCGCCGTTCAAGTTGTGTATGACTGATTTGCAGAGATTAACAAATACTTGCTGCATCCGAGTGCGCGCCGATGTCATTACTAATACTAGTCAGCGTCACAGTAGCACCAGTAGTAGCTTGGCTTTAAACGTTTAGCAAGGATCCAGTTCAATGATCACCTACGTCAAATATCGAGACTTTCACTGCCACGGTCCTGCCTATCCTTGGCTGTCGCTGGCCTAATGCCTTCTTTGAGGACTCGCTGCTAAATGAATCGAACCTTTCGATCGCTCTTGCCGGCAGCTACGCGACAATGGCGCGCACAGCAGTAGCAATGGCCAGCTACGATGGAACACGGACTCCCTGTCGCGTTCAGCTCTTTCCTTCTCGCTCTCGTTAACTTTTTCACCTCAGGCCCCTCTTTCTTTTAATGACGCTCTTCTCACTGTCAAAAAACGGAAAAATCGTTAGACCACAGGTGAAAATCCGACGAGCGCCGTACCACATTTCCTTCTGTTTTGGGCAATTTCAGCTAAGAAGGCCTGGACCGCAAGCAATCAGCTCGTAACTCGGTTGTTGAGTCGGCTGTTCATTGATGGCGATCCACAGCCGTCGCAGTTCCGCAGGGACGTCAATTGTTCACCCCGTTCGACTGAGGGCAATGAAAACTAAGCGAACGGGGCAAAATTTATCAGCGCTAGATTGGCCTAGCCGGACATCGATAGTGAACGGTTGAGGGACACAAGGACTAGGACAGTCTAACGGACGAAGCGATGCAGAGGAGCAGCAGAGAGTCAACTATAGCTGAATCGCCCACAGCCGAGCTCTATTCAACAGTGGACGTCGACGCGTAATGCCGAGATTACACCGCTAACTTCGTCAGCGAACTCGACGGAATGAACCCGGTTCACGGAGCTTCCACAAAGGCAACGAATATTATATAACGCTACCCACTAGTAATAGCTCCTTATTTATGTTTTCACTATTGAGAGTCGCTGGAGATGGGTCGAAATGCGCGTTGTGGGATTCGAAGGGTGCCCTCGATAATACGCGGTAATAGAAGCACCAACAGAAGCAGTGGAACAGAGGGCAAAGAATGTACTTTCGAACACGCATATCGACGCAATCATGTTTACGTTGGCGCGCAATGATGACAATCGCGATATCGGCCGGGGCGGTCTCCCAGAATCACTCGAAGCTTATTTGCTAGCATTTTTGCAGCAATACTAATCTCGAGATCAAATGATTTTATCTGTCGAAGATTATATGTGCGCTATTGTCGTACTGTCCCGTGGCTATTGGAATAGCTTGACTTCGGCAGGAGTTTCTCCCTTTCATTTCGTTCTAATCTATCTCGGACAGACTTTGAGCGGTAGAGTCGCGACCGTCGCTAGCGCCACCTTACATTTGCCACAAAGAAGTCTGGTATCTTCGTTTTCGATGTAGTAGACTGGTTTAAATCAAGAGTATATATAACAACGGTTGACCGGCCATTGAAAACTGACGGGGAAACGATTATAAATAGAGTAGAAGAGCACTGCTACAGAGCTATATGGTTTGCTGCCGTAGAGGGTTCTATGACGCATTTCGCCGCTAATGAATCCGCAAAATGACACCAGTGCGATAGTCGCACAGCGGGATTCAACATAGTCTGCCGCCAATGGTAACCAGCCAACAATGGCCGTTCTGAAAGTTGTAACAGCGACAGGGACGGCCGCAATACGCCGCCGTTGGTATCGTTGTGGAAGGGGGGTGCCTTCACTCGCCGCCGCTGTCGCTATTTTAAATATTATAGTCAGAGACGAGAGTGATACTGGCATTGATGTCAGTGGTATGTCAGCGGTGTGTGGAGTTTAGTTTTTCTAATCGCCGCTGCTGTTGCGAGAATTCTATTTGGCGGCGGACCCAGAGTGTTGGTCGACCCGGGCGTCGGGTCAAATGCTTCTTGCCTTGCTGTCTGCCGACTAATAACAGCGTTTAATGCTTAGTCGGTCACCAAATGCAACGGTAGCGTAGAGGAATGCGTAAGCAGGCTAGAGCGAAAAAGCAGACGATAAAAACGCCATCTAGCAGCGATCCAGCAGACAGAAGGACGCGACCGCGACAGCGACCATAGATAACCAGTCGAGCCTGGTAAAACAGTGTGTACAAATTGTCTGATTTGGCGCCCGCACGCTACGGCGATAGAATGCGGAGCAGCGAATATGTTACACTTTGTCGCGTTCATTGTAGCGCAGAATTAACAATAACAGAAGCAGTTGTCTACTTCGGGTGATGCTAACGGGCCGCGATAGTAACAACGAGTCGAGCTTCGCTAAAAGGTGAACAGTAAGAGGTAACATCAGACAGATTACAGGTACTTCACGATGACGGCCGGCTATTGGAAAGCAATAAGCTGCCGCATTCGTTGACACGCTTATATTGCTATATATATGTATAATGTAACGATATATATATATTCTTGTCACGTGAAATGTGACTCGGGCGTCACTAAAGGGTGTATCAGACACGATCGATCTTGCTTGTGGAGAAGCTATGCTCAGACGTATCGATCAAACGCCATTGTCGTTGCCACCAATTATGAGCTGGAAATGCAAAACGGTCACAGAATGCGGCGAACGGTCAGTACGCAGTACAACTTTACCTAAGGCAAAGCAGGCAAAAAAGACCACTGGGTCTATACGTATTGTGGGATTGAAAAATAAAGCCAACGATGTGCATTTAACAAATAGGGTTACGAGACCAGCGCGCTAATTTGCATAGTTGGCCATGTTGTTATAGGGGGCGGTAGCGTCGCGTGGCTGGAGTTTCGACATTAACGTCTACTACACACCAAAATGTTATTAAGTGCACGTAAAATCGAATATTAAGGTAACAGTAGTAGTTGCAAAATGCGAGCCCTGCTATGTGCCCTGATATGTGCTTCCTGATTGGCATTGGCAGCATTTTTTTTCTTAATGTCTTAGAAGACATCTTACATGTCCTCATGAGGCCTCTAACGCGACTCGTGTGTAGAACGCCCGTAGACAGCATAACAATTGTCTGACTGTTTTCATGTCAATACACTTGCTTCTAAAGATAGCATAAAAGGCCTTTAGCAGTCATTCGAAATAAATGAAGGGACGGCCGTTAAATCAGTCCAGCTTCTGCGCGATAGCAATGAGCTGGCTCCATACGTCCGTTGGCTTAATGAATTGAAGTTTCAGGGTGAGAATGATAATTGCTTTACGAGGCCTACTGATTAGTTGTACTTTTTACAAAGCCTGATTATGCACACGCTCGAACCCTAATGCCAATACCGGTTACAAATCCTTTACTATTGAGCCCTTTAACTGAAAGTGGGGTATTGCAGGCTATAAAAATGTATCTACTATATTTCGGCCGGATATAGTAGTTTATCTAAGTAGGAGTGCGAGGTCAGCACGGTAACTTGCGCATAATAGTTTCCACAAGTAAGGACTGTAGGAGACCGAAAACAAAGTTGCTGCCACTGTGTTCACAGTTGCCGCCCGTGAGCCGCCATCGTGAAGCAACAAAAACAGTCGGTATTACGAAGCCTACGACCGACACGTTTCTCAGGGGTACGATTATGAACGCCGTATGCACAGGTGCATGTATTCGTATGCAAATAAAGCAGCACACTAGTTAGTCCAATGGGAACATAGGATTTTAGGAACACCGGTGCGATGACCAAGACTTTATGCAGTAGCGTAAGGCACGTATACATGTTTTGAGCTTCAGGTCTGATACCGTTGTTGTCTATTCCTTTAGGGACTTCTCTACGCTCTTGAACATAAGTCTAATAAAATCGTATACTTAAATTTAGTAAAAAGTAGAAATGGTACAGCACATGTTTTTCTCATTTAACACTACTTTCAGTTACATTCCGTGGCAGAGAAACACTTTACATGGTTACTGTTGTTATTGTTCTTGGCAATCTCGTTGCTGGGCTGGTTGACGTTTTTGTCGAATATTTTACACGATCTATCGAATGGCTAGCTTACCATAATGCCCACGGATACAAGAGAAAAAAAAAACAGTTATCCACTAAGAGACTAATGTGGGATTCGAAAGAGCGCTGGCGATTTGATTACGCTACTAGATAAGATCCGCAAGCTAGGATGCTTAAAACAGCCTTCACAGACAGCTGAAGTCACACATCGTTAGCGATTATGAGCATTTAACCTATAAATGTACTTCGTTTTTCTCAAGGTAGGCAGCATATATACTCGATTGTATCTACTCTCAGGGTTGCGTACTTAGTTACTTCAATAAACTTTGTTTTTGTTCATTTGTTATGAACGAAACCACTCGTTGGCTCCTTCTTCTTCAACATTTTAATGGCATTATCAATGCTGTAGATCATTAGCAACGCCTACGTCTATTACTTTCTGCACGCGATCCGGCATGTCGGCAGGTCATCGGTAAGACAACAAAAAACCCATTATTTCAAGCGCAATCCACGTTACATTTGTAGATCGTCGCAGAAAAGGTTTTTCTTTGTTTGCGAAACGCTTCTATATCATGACACCATCTATCAAATACTTTAAATATTGACAATTTTCATTCATTGATGGAAACCAACAGAGTGGCAACGAAGTTTCAAGATAACAGATACTTGACAAAGTTTAACAGTGGATAAGTTTCCTAAAAGCATCTTATCTCATTGTTGACAGGAACGACAATTATTTACAGGGAAATTTAACACTGCCGTCAAATTTCTTCTAGCTATATGCGTCCTATCGACGATTGAATTATGATATTGTAATAAAAATGCTAAGATTCGCTTTCGTTTGAAGTTATCCTGCCCGAGGGGCAAAAGCACGACAAATTTTCAACTGTACTGGGCAAGTATGTGTAGACAACGTATGAATTCAAAACGAACTTTATAACAATGCTTAAAACATTGTGTCCCAAGTCGTTTATTCTATTCCCTATATGATAAATGTGCTATGAAACATGTATCGTATATGATGCCCTACCTTTCTCTATGAGGCTGACTTCTAAAGCTTCTCAGCTTGAGAGCCTTTTGGAGAACCTTTGAACTTCGAAAGGGCTCCAACCTAGTATTTAAATTATTATAGTATTGTTCTGCAACGGTTCTTGTTTAGACTAATGCATCTGGAGTAAGTCGAGCTATTAGTTTTCACGAAGAACCAATGTAGAATCACTACTGTTACTTTTCAAAAAGGAAGCATTTCGTAAAAATTTTTACTAACGTTAGACTAACAAAGTAGATGGAAAAGTGACAAACAATTGTATTATCCTAATAAGTTGAAGAGCAAGTTCCCGCACTTATTCAAACCTTCAATTTTCTACTTTTCTCACCGGTCGTTTGTTTTTGATGTACCGTTTGCGAGTGTTCTTTTTGCTCTATCAGCCTGCTGTAACGGCAGTAACTGGGTTATGAATGCAGTTTTAAATTAGAAAAACCCAAGCATGGATGTTCCAGGTAGAAAAAAGTACGTCTTTAGCATCTTTTGCACTCTGCATTCCATCGAGCAAAAATGCCTCCGAAACCGCCTGAGACATTTGCCTTGCACGGGAATGATGCTACCATTGAAGAGACTGGTCAAAAGTGCTTTGTCAAGTTTCAAAACAATATCCAGGACCTAAAGAATGCTTCCGCCTCAGATGACCGTCTGAGTTTGATATCGATCATGTGAAGAGACTTTTGAAGAAAGATGGCCAACGAACAAGTCGGGAATCGACAGAAAGGATGGGCTGTAGCTACACAACTATCGTTAATTAGCTAAAGTTATTTGATTTCACACAGGAAGTTAGAGCTTGAGTATTTCACGAGCTCGTTGAATCCGACAAGGAATTACAACTTAACGTTGCATAAAAATGTCATGCTTTTTTATCCAGTGATCCTTCGTCTTAACTCAGATTAAGCTGGAAGCACTATTGACTTTGCCAAATCGACACTAGATTGTAACTTGCGTACGAATATTTTTCACTGGCCATGAGGAGCCGTTAATTCCTTGTTTGAGATCCTGTCTCTCTGCCATGCGGAACTCGTATCGCATATGGCAGTCATATCACCCACAGGTTGCTATGGGTAGATGTCACAGGAGGTCTTTGCCAATGCCCAGTTGAAGAGTCACGCCAACTGAGCAGCTGATCAACAAATGATTCAATTAGAAACCATTACGTTAACAATTATGGTAAGAATACAAATATTATGTTTTATTTATTAGGCTTTAAAAAAAATCAGCTCTTTCACGTTCTGTGCTTCGTCGCCTATTTCGATTTAAGGTTAAAAATAAGGAGCGATAGAGGTCGAGCCGTAAGCGCTTGGAGATGCTTAATGAATGGCGCCGATTTGAGGCGGTTGTTAAGCAGGTCATACCGATAACTGTGTTGCAGTTTTTCGAGTTTAGATCACCCGTAAGGTAAACATGAGTGTTAATTGCGTTGGCGTTCTATTTAATAAACGTATCGATTATCCCAATTCATTTTCCAATTACGCAGAAGAGCCGTTGTATTTCGTAGAGTAATGGAGTCCTTGGCGAAGGTGACGGAGAACACTAGGAGGAAAGGGGACACATTCAATCTCATCACCCTACGACAAAGCAGGTCTAACGCGTCAAAGCATATGGCCGATACCATATGGAGATCGCATTCAATATCAATACAATCTTGTATTGAAGAAGGACGTTAGCTAAGGAACTGCATTCAGGTTAACAG